ACACAGGTGGATCAGAGGGGACAATCAAAATGACACAGGAGGATCAAAAGGGGTTACTAAAATGGTAAACACTGCAGTGTTTATGGGCCATCTCAAACAACTGAATAGCGGGGTGCCTCCTTAGTGTACATTCCCTCCACTGCTTACGAAAGTGCACGTGTTTCCTGTATTTTGGCAATTCGTCTGGATGGCACTAAAATCCCACCTTTAATCACTTCTAAGGGCAAGAAAGAAAAGGTTGCACATGTTTTGGGCATTTTTATTCTTAAAACTGAAAAAGCCTGGGCCACACAAGCAATTATAAGGGAGTGGATTGGTTTAATGCTGCCACTTGTTATGCGAGGGAGCCAAAAAGGTCTGCTAGTCTGGGATGCAGCCAGCATTCAATGCACTAAAGACATGAAAACATTTCTTCACGAAAGAAAAATAGATCAGATAATAATTCCCGCAGGAATGATGGCCTATCTCCAGACTCTTGATATTGCAATAAACAAGCCATTCAAAGTCAATTTGCGCATGGAAATTAATGACTACATTGAAAATAGAATGGAGAGAAATCAGCGTGAAAACTTGTGAAACCTAAACTGCAAGAAGTTGTGACTTGGGTGAAGAATTCATGGGAGAAAATCACTGACAGTTGCATTGCAAATGCACTGCGAGCAGGCTACCTTGACAAGAAGTACTCATTTAAAGACAGTGCTATTGCTAAACATGAGATATTTGGTCCACTGATTCTGAAAGAAATGGAGTCACAAGAAATTCACCAGGAAATTCAGGAATTGGATTGTTATGATGATGTTTCAGAAGATGATGACATGATTGTCATTGAATAAATGAGTAAATTCTTGATACTGTTGGATTCACAGTTTGTCTGGTTTGTGTTGACAACTACCATACTACTGTACCATATACAGGTAATAAATTTCCTTTATTTTCATTTAACAATAAATGTGTACCGTATTCTTCTTCATGGAAAAATAAGACATCCCCTGAAAATAAGACCTAGCACATCTTTGGGAGCAAAAATTAATATAAGACACTGTCTTATTTTTGGGGAAACAGGATATGTATGGAAGCTGTCCTGGGAGAGTAATTGGCCCCAGGTCTTAGCCTGCCTTTGGTCCCTTTGCTGGGATTTGTCATAAGGAGAGGGGTGGGCTCATGGCAGGGTGGCAGGATGTAGTGTGTGACACAGTGGGTATCCACAAGGCAAATCAGAGGTAAAGCCATGTTTGCCCAGCACCCAGAGGACCTATCAAGGACCCAATAGACCCACAGACACCTACATGTGGATGCAAGAGAGTACAGTCCCTGTGGGTTCTGTGCAGGAGACTGCTGACCTGCCATGTGCCTGACCTCCAGCCTGCCCAGGGGCGTGAGCCACAGGACAACTTTGCTTTCCATGAAATCACAGCTAATTCGAAGCAGAGAGGTACAAATACTTCTGGAAAATTTGGTATGTGAGGCTTTGGTTAAGTCCTATTATTGTCATACTAGGGGCCTGGTGCATGAAATTCATGCACTTGGGGGGTGTCCCTCAGCCCAGCCTGCTCCCTCCCACAGACTGGGAGCCCTTAGGGGATGTCCTACTGACAACTTAGGCCCGCTCCCATGGGGAAAAGGCTTAAGCCACAGTCTGGCCTCCCTCTGTGGGAGGCAAGAGGGCTTATCAGGGGAAGGCGCCAGCCCCATCACCCCACTGCTGCAGCCACTGCCAGTCACCGCAGTCTCCAAGGTGTTTCTTTCAACACAGACTCTAGTCCCTTAACCATGAAAAAATTACAACTTTCTTTAGGCATTTTCAAGATGTGTCTTTCATAGGATATGACATTTCTTTTGTTTGTTTGTTTGTTTTTGTTCTTACCTGAGGATACGTTTCCATTGATTTTTAGAGTGTGGAAGAGAGAAAGAGGGAGAGACAGAGAGAAACACCATTGTGAGAGGGACACTTTGATTGGTTGCCTCCTGTATGAGCCCTGATCTGGGCCCTGGCCAGGGAGCTGCCGGCAACCTAGGTACATGCCCTTTATCAGAATTGAATCAACACCCTGTAGTTGGCAGGCCAAGGCTCTATCCACTGAGCCTAACTGGCTAGGGCAGGATATGACATTTCTTAGCTCTTCAAGCAGTGAACCTTCATTTTATTTTCTCCAGGAGTGAAGTGAAAAACCCGAGATCACCTTGGATTCTTATTAACCCAGTTACCAAGAACACTACAAGTGGTGGCATATAGGGGAGCTTAGCCAATGAGCAGTCAGAAAAGTTGTTTACACTCAAACTGGTTTAGCTCAGTGGATAGAGCATCAGCCTGCAGACTGAAGGGTTTCAGGTTTGATTCCTATTAAGGGCATGTACCTTGGTTGGGGGCACATCCCCAGTGGGGAATGTGTAGGAGAAAGCTGATCGATGATTCTCATCAATGTTCCTGACAGTATCACTCTTCCTTGTTCTCTGTAAAAAAATCAATAAAATATTTTTAAAAAAGAAAAAAAGAAAAGGTGTTTCCTCTGCACCCCATGCAGAGGATTCCATGTGTTGTGTCCACTGGTCTAGCAGCATGTCCCCAGCCACTGGGGGCACACCAAGCCCACCAGCCATATGTTCACTGTGTCCGCCAGGCTTGGGGGCATGGACCCAGGCTACTTGACACAGGTGCACGTGCAAGTGGCCATGGGGCAGAAGTTCTCACCCCACCCTGCAGTCGCTTGTGCTTGGTGTCCCCGGTTGCTTGTACCGGGACCCTGGCTGCTTGGTGCTAGTGACTGTAGGCCATTCCTGGCCAGGGCATTCTAGGACCCCAGCCACTCAGGGCCTACATGCTGGCTTACAGGCTCCGAGAGGCTTGAATCCCAAGATGTTCCCCAGACCCAGACCACTAGGTGCCCATGTATGCAAATTAACCCACTATCTTTGTTGGATTAATTTGCATACTCACTCCTGATTGGCTGGTAGGCATCACAGAGGTACAGTCAATTTTCATCTTTTTCTTTTATTAGTGTAGATATCCTCATGGACAGGGCTCTCCTTGGCAATTTGTTTTGTCAGAGCAAAAGAATACATGGGCGATTTATTGTGTATTCATGTCCTATTCCTTAGGATAAACAGTACCCCCCAACTTGGTCATCTCTGGGCTCACTGTGGTCCTGAAGAGCAGTGGGTTTAGCTGTGTGACTGCCTGTGACCTCATCAAAGTAGTACCTGCCATCAAGGCTCTGAGGACACTGAAAGCTTGCCTGGTCTCAGTGAAACTTTTGAAAGGGCAACAATGCCTGTTATTTAAGTGTCTTAAAAATTTTCCTCCTTAATACCTTTTTAGGCTGAGTCCGATGGTAATTAAGATGGTGCTAGCCACTGTCAAGTACCTCTTTGTAGCAGAGTGTGGGTTGCAAGTTCAGCCAGACCCCATTTGCATCTTTAATCCTACATCCCTACTAACTGGGTTGCTCAGGGCACATTCTACAAGTTTTTCTGTGCCTTGGAATTCTCTCCTGTATTTAAATGTTTATTGGGAACCTCCTCAGGGTTGGTTGACTCTTCCTGAAGGATAGGCAGGGAAGGTGGACCAAAAACTCTGGTGCTTCAGCAGCTGACAAACTTGATTCAGATTACTCATCCTTAAAACAAGCTCATATAATAACACCCATTTCCCAGTGGGTTTGGGAAGCCAAATTACTACTTGTGAAATATTTTTAAGTTCTCAGAAGAAAGGTTATACATCACAGCAGAGTATGACTATCATCATTGTGATCTTCTGAAGCTGCCTCAGGGCTAACCTGTATAAAATTACCATTCATGGAACTATGGTATTGTAACAACGGCTATTATCCATAATACCAGAGTAATGTCTAAAGTATTGCTATGCTTATGGAAAACTCTTAAATCACCCGGAAGGAAATGAAGAAGGTAGTCTAAGTGACCTGCTGTGAGTTTGTCCTGATCTCCAATTCCAAAAGTAAATAGACTCCTAAAGGAGGTAGACAACTGTAAAAGCACCAGACAACAATAGCATTCTTAGTGCACCTAGTGTATATCACACAGTGAGTGTGTCCTGCAAGTCGTCGTGGAATGTTCCCAACAAGTTTAGAAAGTAGATTTTATTATCTCTGCAGAGGAGAAAAATTGAGGCTCAAAGATGTTGACTGGTCCAATGAAGATGAACCTAGGAGTTTAAATAGATAGTCTGCAATGATGAAAGAGACCAGATGTAAGGTGACCAAAAAGTCTAGGCAGGAGCCAAGGAGACTCTGAATTAGGTTAGCAAAGAAGGATGATTCCCAGATTTCCAGTTCAGGCACCCCTCACCCCCACCCGTGAATATCTGCTTCTAAAGGAGAGGCAACCCAGTAGGGGAAGGCCTTAGAGGGGGAAGATAACTTTGGTGCAAGGTAACCTGAGTTTGGGTAGGCCAGCATATCCCTTTGAGCTGGTCTGCGCCTTGGGAGGGAAGTTGAGAAGCAGACTTTGGAGTTACTGACAGATCTGAGCAGTGCAGCCTGGGATAAGATCACCAACATGCAACTTCTCACCTTTGGCCACTTCTTCCCTTCCCCGAGGAGCCTGAGTACTCACTAGAGGAAATGTCCAAAAGGCAGCATGGGTCAAGGCAGGTGTCCTGGAAAACCTCACTGTAGGCCTCCTAAGCTGCTGCTCCTTCCCCGCAAGTCTGCGTCCTCCTTGGGCTCTCCGCCCCTCCCTAGGACCCCAGTCTCCACCAGCCTCTAGATCCCACAGTCTCCTCAGCCCCCCAGGAAGGGAAAGGGTCAGGGACTGGCATAGCTCAAGACTCAGGCTCTTCGGGCGGGGCCTAGAGCGCATGCGCGCCTGCTGTACGGCAGCCCGGAAGGAGGGGTAGGAGGCGGTGGCTCTGGTTTCTCAGGGTGGCAGGCGGCAGCAGCGGCGGGGACGCGGCTGGCGCGGGCACCATGAACCCGTTGTAAAGCGCAGGCTGCGAGGGAGGGGGGGCGGGGGGAGGAGGAGGCCTCGCGGTGAAGTTCTCCGCCATGAACCTGAGGGGCCTCTTCCAGGACTTCAACCCGAGGTGAGGCGCTGCGGGCTGGGCTCTAGGGAGGTGCAGCAGCGCTCAGCTGCAATGAGAGGCAGGGCACCTGCAGCCCCGGGCGCCTGCCTGAGCTTCCCTGCGGGTGCGAGAGACTCTCTGGGAAAACAGTTTGGGCTCTGGCCCTATTCCTCCTCCCGAGCCCCGTACTTTCAATCCTCTGGCCTGTGGCACAGTTTAGACTCTCCCTGCTGGTTCCCCCGCCTGGCCCCGAGGGAACCCCGCTCTTCTTAGTATGCCCTCTCTTATTGCTGTCCCAACTTCCCCCTCTCAGTTCCAGCTTTTCGCACCGCTCTGCCTCCCCCCTATTCTCCTCACAAGGGCCATTTCACTTGCCCGCACACCCCTCAGCCTTTGAGGTTTCCTTGGAGGTAAGCCCATTTCTCCCTTGTTTGCTTCTTTGTGGGGCCGATATCTGATATCTGAAACGTTGAATCCTTGGAGTCGGTGCCAGGGTATGGCAATACCTTACATAATGCCTTTGGGGGTGAACCTGACAGTTTTCCATGCGGGTTTGCTCATATGTTCACTATAAGTTTATTTGCAGGAAGTAGATATTGCTGTTCTATTTCCCTGTAATATTCCCCCAGATAGTGGGGTAATAACAGTGGACAATATGGAGAGAACACTAGCTAAAGAATCAAGCATCTGTCCCTCCACTTGCCCAAATGTTCTGTAACTGTTCCTTACCTCAGGCTATGAGCCGCCCCCCCCCCCAAAAAAAAAAAAAAAAGCAGCGACCATCTCCTGATCCTCTCACTATCCCAGCACCTCCCATCATGTCTGACAAATAGTACCCACTTAAGAAATATTAGGGAACTAAACCAGGCCATCAGACCGGGATTGGAGACAAGGCCATATGTAACTAGGTGATTCTCTGCTCATCTGAAAAATAAGGGGTTGGCCTAATTGATCTCTAAAGCCCCCTACTCTATGAAGGGTGTACTTATTTCTCTTATTTGTTGGTGGGAAGCCATGTACTCAGTAAACCTTTTGTATGCTCAGTCTTATGCCAGGTGCTTCAGATGCTGGGAGGTTCCAGCTTGGGATGGAGAAAGGCATGTAAATACTAGTAGACAGTTTACAGCAGTGTTCAATATTATACTGTGGGAGCCCAGTGGAGTTCACTATCTGGGCCCCTTGTGAGGGATGAAAGAAAGTCTGAGGTGGGAGGGAGAAAGACATAGAGTGTGTTGGGAATGGGAATGCTGTCTTCTTAGGGACAGAAACATTTTAAGCTGCAAGCTATTGTGACTTCCTAGGTGCTTTTGTTCCTCTTTGAGCACTGCTGAGTTCATATTTGGGTCTGTAGTGACAAAGTCCCAGTCACTGTAGTCATGATTTTTTTGGCTTGAAGGCACTCTACATAGAGGGTCTTGTTGAGAGCAGGTTACTGAAAACAAACTGTAGTGTTTTCCTCTGCTGCTTGTAGGAGCTGGGTTTCAGGATTGGTGCTGGAGTTGGACAGGCCTTGTGTGTTTGCATTGTTTGGTGAGGGTGATAAAATATGTCAAACCTGAATTGTTTTGCATCCTTGGACCACTCGTTTATCTGTCCATTTTATCTGTATAATGAATATAATATCTTAGCAGGATAAAGGCCAAACTAATGATTGAGTACAAAGTGCTGTGCAAATAGAAAGATTCAGGACTATTTTATAAGCTAATAGATAATTCAGAAGCCACAAAGAACTTTGAGGAGTAATCTAACTGGCTTTCAGAGTTGCCAAAGCAAAATAGTGCTGCACAGATACTATCTTGAACTATTTTTCCCTCTAGCATCTTCCCCCCTCAAAAAAATTGGTATATGAAAATTACAATGAAAGATTAGGTATCTAAACAGCTTTGTAGTAATCATCAGCATATTTGTCAACACTTTAAATCTACTTGAAAAGTTTTAAAATCTTTTATAGGGTGCCATTTTCCTGAATCAGTGGGACTGAATGGTGTTACCCCACAGTGGTGACTTAAGACAGTGGTCAGGGAATATTGGCTGGTGGTGTGTCATGTCTTGTGGGCACATCTAGTTTTTGACATTGTTCTTTAGTCTTTATCCATGAGGAAGAGGGCCCTCCAGGCAGCTAGAAAGCAAACTGAGGTGTTTAGACAAGAGATATCTTGTGCTAGGACCCCAAACCTTATCATTGCTGCCTTGCTTTCTGCCTCTAATTCAGAACCAGTTCAACATCTTCTTACCCCAGGATTTTGGCACATACTGTACTCTTTGCTGGGGATGTTTTCTTCTCCTCTCTTCTCCTATCCTCCTGACCTAATTAACTCCTATTTATCCTTGAGATATCAGCCTCAAACCTTATCATTGCTGCCTTTGATTCCTCTTGGTACTACTTGTGTAGCATGCTGTATTCTTCCATCATAGTACTTATTTGTACCCTTATATGTGTGTGTTTATTTGAGCAATGCCTGTCTCCCCTATTAAATTATCCCCTACTGTAGTTCTCTCATATAAGCTCCGTGGGGCCAGGCCAGAACTCCATTCATTATGGTACTATGCATACTTGGAATAGTACTAGTATCTGGCTCAATAAATATTAGTGGAATGAATGAATGAATTACTCTCCAGAGCCTATGAGAGAAGTCTAGAACTGCTTCTTTCAGTCACTGCTTTCCTGATGGTCTGTGGCCTGGTTCTCTTTCCTCTCATTCTCTTCCCTTCTTTAAAAAGCAGCCATTCCACTGCAGAGATAGGAAAGGTGATGACACTAAGGAAGGACGTGACTGCCTTTGCTTCTTGGATTATGTGTGTCACAGAAATTGTTTAAGGTGACCAGATGTCCTGCTTTTGGCAGGACAGTCCCGATTTTTGGACTTTGTTAAAATGCAGAGGGACGCGGGACAAATTTTTAAAAATCGGGACCTCTGGTTACCTTAAAATAGTTACTATCATGGTTTGGTGGTCCCAATTCATGGGATATGGCTTCAGATCTCCTTTCTAACCTTTTGATCTTGGTCAGTCTGAACTCACTGTTGTATTGCCAACACTCTGAAAAACTACATTGATAGAGAATGATTCACAAGTGTCAACACTCAATTGCATAAGACTGATGACCCTCTGCCTATTTCCATCTGGCATAGAACTGGTTGGTCATGAACTACTTCTTAAGTACACAGGTTAGGACTTGCTGAAATAGATTCACTGAATTCACCAAGTCCTTCCTTGCATGCTTGAGGCTTCCTAATGACTAGGGAGCCTATTCATTGAATTAGCAAACTGTTAGAAGTATAGGCAAACTGACTCCAAGGTGTTCCTGAGAGATAGAGATCTGGAAGTAGGTGACATTAAGTTGGCACACTGCCCTCCCCATGAAGCACTGGGATTTTCTTCTGTCTTGGTGGTATTGCTGGCACAAAGAAGGACCTTCAACCCTGGTAGCCAGGCAGTGCTTGAAAGCTGTGAGGACTTGGCTAGGCATTCTGAGTCATCTGTAGTGAGCTCCTGACAAAGTGGTGTATCCTACAGGTGTGCTGAATTGAGAAAAAAGCAGAGGAACCTTGCTCTAGGACAGTGGTCGGCAAACTCATTAGTCAACAGAGCTAAATATCAACAGTACAACAATTGAAATTTCTTTTGAGAGCCAAATTTTTAAAACTTAAACTCCTTCTAACGCCACTTCTTCAAAAGAGACTCGCCCAGGCCGTGGTATTTTGTGGAAGAGCCACACTCAAGGGGCCAAAGAGCCGCATGTGGCTTGGGAGCTGCAGTTTGCCAACCATGGCTCTAGGTATTTCTTCCAGTGGGTGTGAGGTCAGTAGTGTTTAATAACTTCCATGTGCTTCAACTTATAAAGTTATTCTGGAGTCTAAGTTATCTTGTCTCATATTTGAAGTCAGGAAAAAATGAAATGTGATTGCTGGTAATTGTTAACAAAAGGCAGCTACCTGGCCTTTAACAGTCTGTTTATAAAGAATTCATATTTAAAGCATTCATTACTCAAATATCTCCCGAGTTCCTGCTGTGTACCAAGACATGCGCTATGTGCTCTGAGTACAAAAAGAAAAGGGACATAGTCCCTTTCCATGCTCAAGCCCAGAAGAAGCAGAAATGGAGAGAGAAATTAAAGTTCAACACAGGATGAGGCATTCCAGAGACAGGAACAAAATGCTGTGGAAGCACAAGGGGCAGAGCCACTAATTTTGTCTAGAGCATGCTGGGAAGGTTCTACAGCTTGATCTTGAAGGATATAATTATAGGGTTTTGTCAGCCCAGAGGGCAGGAAAGGTGCAAAGTATGCAAAGGCATGGGTTCATGGGAGGGCATGGTATGTTCAGAGTGAAAGGTCAGTGTACTGAGAACACTACTAGTTACACGTGTCATGTAATTTAAAAATATTGTACGCAGTGTTAACAATTACTTAAAATATTATTTACATATTATTTTTTTAAAACACAGCACTGAGTGTATGTCAAATGTCTGTTTACCTGTCATTCTGTCATCTCAGAGCACCTGTAGTAAGGGGGCTCCATAGCTCAGTGGATAGAGCACTGGTCTTGTCAAAGCACCTGTAGTAAAAAAAAAAAAAAAAAAAAAAAAAGTATTTTGATTATACTGAGGTTATTATTAGTACCTTGAGGTCCAGTGCACAAATTCGTGCATGGTGGGGGTCCAGCTGGTTCTAACCCTGACCGGGGTGGTGGTAGGAAACTGATCTGGGCTGGGGCCAGCCAGGGGGAGAGGCTGCAGGAGGTTGGCCAACCGGCCCCGCCCCTCCACAGTGTGCATCATAGCAACCCGTCATTCCAGTCACTTAGGATTTATAGATAGCTGTGACTTATGGGCACCTACCATATGCCAGACACAATGTCAGTATTTTGTATCTATTGTCTTGAATCTTTACAACAACCTTGCTAGTTAGATATCAGCCTTATTTTACAGTCTTAGATAGCTTGTGACTTCCCTAAAGTCACACAGGCAATAAGGGGTTCTGACACAAATAGATCTCCTTCTGAAGCCTGTGTTCATTCCTG